GGCATGGAAAAAGCCTGTTGGTAGCATAGCTTGGCACCTATCGCATGTTTTGTTTGTTTTGTTTTCTATAGGGTTTGTGTGCTCACCAGAGAGACAGGGTATTGGAAGGGGGATGAGAAATCACCCGTCCCCCGGGGGAATGGCCATGCCACAATCTCTTCTCCATTCTCCTCTCAGGATTTTGGGTACACATACATACATGCCCAGAGTGTTTTTCAAGTCGCCAGGTCCAGGACTCGAACCGGACAGTGAGTTATATAGGATCCACCACGCCGCCTGCTGGCCCTAATAGGGCCCATCTGTACACAGCAGTGTAGCTGGAGAGGTAGTGCCCATCCTGCACGGTCCCGAGCCAGCCCCAGAAGTTATGGTTAAGCACTTGATACGTGTTCAATTCTGTTGGCATACATGGTTAAGGGACAATGGCAAAGCTGCTTCCTGGTGTTTGCAGATAAGCCCCTGGGCTGGCAGGCTGCATTAGAGACCCACCTCCCCATGGGGAGGGCACCATTCAGGCTGGGAGGGCCCGAGAGCTGGATGGAGGACAGGCCGCTAAGATCAGGCGGATGTGGATTTGAACCCTTGTTTCCTGCCTCCCTGAGTCTTACTGTCTCCCCAGGTAGCCCAGGGCAGCCCTGGCCACTAGGGACAAAGAAGCACTTGGCCCAGTGCTGCGGGAGGAATGTGCCTTGCCCAAATTCATGTGGAAACTCCATCCCCAGGGCAACCATCTTGGGAGACGATCAGGCTGGAGGGTGCTGCTCCAAGGAGGGCTCGTGCCCCTGTAAAAGGGCTTCAGGCGCTCACCTGTCCCGCCTGCCATATGCAGTGACATGGCTCCACTTACAGGCAGAGAGCCCTCGCCAGACAGCAAGTCTACTAGTGCCTCGTCTCAGCCTTCCCAACCTCCAAACCACGAGCAACGCATTGCTGTGGCTTACAAATGACCCAGTCGAGGGAATTGTTTTTGAGAGAGAGATTTTTGCTGTAGGGCACATGCACTCACTGGAGAGACTGAGAGAGACAGAAAGTGAGAAGTTACCCCCGAGGGGTGATGGCCACGCCACAATCCCTTCTCCATTCTCCTTTCCAGATTTTGTGCACACATGTGATTTTTAAGCCACTGGGCCTGGGACTTGAACCATGGTCAGTCACATGGGAGTCCAGCCTTAACCATTGTGCCACCTGCTGGGTCCCAAGGGAATTTTGTTACAGGAACACACAACAGAGTAAGATATGCGGTGTGCAGGCCAGCCGATGGCGCGGAGGTTAGGGTGGCTAGATCCCACATAGCTGACTGCGAGGTTCTAGTCTCCGAAATGGTGGCCTGAAAACATGCTGGGCATGTGTGTGAGTGTGTGCCCAAAGTCTCGAGGAGAATGGAGGAGAAGGGACTGTGGCATGGCCATCCCCCTGTGGGGTGATCTCTCTCTGCCTCTGACACTGTCAGGCGAGCACATGGGCCCTGTGGGAAAACTAAAAACAACAAAAAAGATAGCCAGCACGTGGGTGGTGGAGCTTAGCTCTCCCAGACTCACTCGTCCACTCCCTCCTGCCTCAGCATGGAAGCACCCCAGGGTCTGGTCATCCACAGCCCAGCTGCAGGGGTGGGGTCAGGCACTGTCTGTGTGGAGCTGGTGGGTCCAGCTGTCCACATACGCAGCACGAGGGGGCCAGTGGCCAGAGGGCAGAGCAGCCAGGAGCATGGGCACAGCCAGTCTGAGTTCCCCCTGCCACGGCTGTGTGACCTGGTATGTGGCTTAGTGTCTCTGTGCTCAGTCCCTTTGAGGAACTACAATGTCACACAGCAGGTCTGAGGAAGGAGCCAGTGGGGGCACAGAGACAGGTCACTGGGTGGCCCAGGCTGCTCAGAAAGACGGCATCATGGTCTCCCTGCACCTGAACAGGCCGGGCAGGGCAGAGGAGACAAAGGGGGCACTTTGGGACAGTGCTGGGGAGCAGAGGCCGTAACGTGCTGCAGCCTGGGCAAAAACGGAAGGGCAGAAACCAATTAGCTCGAGATTCCGCAGACCGGGAGTCAGGGCCAGGTGCTGGCGGGCCTGGCTGGGAGGGCTGCTCTGCTTCCACGCGAGTCCCGGGGTGGGGACACTGTTCTGGGGACGCCCTCTGTCAACCCTTTACCAGGACAGCTCCTCCTACTCACGGTTTAGCCCCCTGACCCCCCATGCCCTAATGCCTCAACACTGGCAACACCTGGAATTTAGAGGGGACACAGTGCCCAGAGCAGGGCTGAACGGCGTCCCCTTAAGAAGAGTTGAGCCCCAAGCCCCAGTACCTGTGAGTGCCTCACGGAGGTGTCTACACATGACAGCGTGTAGACAGGCTGTCCAGGGCGGGCCCTGCTGTGACAGTGTCCTCAGGAAAGAGAGACCGTGGACACACACATGTGCACGGTGAGAGCCCCGTGAGGCGATGAGGGCAGAGGTCGGGCAGAGCTGCTGCAAGCCGAGACCTTGCAATGGTCGCCAGCAATCAGAGGCCGAGGGAGGCAGAGCAGGTGCCCGTCATGGTGCAGGGGGAGAGCCTGCCCGCCCCAGGTCTGCCCTGGACTCTGACCTCCAGGACCGTGAGACACACGTCCGGTGCTGAGGTGCCCGGACCACAGTCCCCGTTAGGGCAGCCACAGGAAGCTAGGCAGGGTCCCAGGGGTCAGAGCCCTCCGGGAAGAAGCGAGTCCCCATCACATGGTTGTGTGGACTGGAAGTCATGGGGTGGCCATCCAATACCTCCCTGGGTGGCCCTGAGCTGTGGCCCCTGCTGGTTAGGGCTGGGCCACGCGGAGCTGGGGTGGGATGTGTGAAGCTGCAGGTGGCAGGTGACCGTACACCCCGAGACGCCCTCCTAACAGCAGAGCTGTCCTATGGGAGGGAGGGAGGCCAGGAGCTGGGGAGGAGCCAGGTGGGGAGGGACGTTGGAGGGAATCCCCCACACCATGAGGGGCTCTAGCTGCCCTGGACCCTGCCTCCAGGAGGGAGCGAGGGGGGCTGTGGTGAGGCCACATGAGCCAGCAGATGGGGCAGGTGGGGCCAGGTACACCTCCGGCAACTGCCTGACCTCATGCAGCTGTGCTTTCTCACCAACTACCCGGCCTCCCATGGCGGCCGGGCTAGAGCTGGGCTGGTGGGAGGGATGCCACAGGGGGAGCCCCGAGTCTGGGCAGGAGCAGCCTCAGGGCCTGGCAGCCGTCCTTAGAAAGCGCCTCGTTTATTCCACAGGCAGCGTCCTGGGCCCTGCCGGTGCCCAGGTGCTGCCATCTTCCCGAAGCAGACAGATGACATGTGGAAGAACATCCAGCGGGCCATGGAGTCGGGAACCAGCAGCCCAGCCAGGCAATGCCCACGTCTAAACAAGCTGGCTGGGCCAGCTACGCCAGAAAGGCACGGGCCAGCCAGAGCCTGCCGGGAGAGCATGCAGCAGAGTGCCTGCTCGTGCAAAGGCCCTGTGGTGGGAGCGTGCCCAGCAGCTTCGAGATGAACCGAGGAGTCAGAGACAGGCCAAGGAGATGGGGACGAGCCCAAGGCCAATGCACGCAGCACTGGGGCGACAGGGGCCGCAGTGGCTCGGGGGGCTGTGGTGAGGCTTGCTGAGCAGGGTTTACCGAGGTACCAGGCTGCAGTGCGTTCCAAGGTGACATGCCCCAACCTGCTTATATATACCCTGAGAGCCGAACTGACGGCTTTGCTGACACCCCACGGTGGAGGTGAGAGGGGCAGTCAGAGGTGACTGGGGTGCTGGCCCATGTCGAGAAGCTAGGAGTACCCCTGGGACTGGAAAACTGCTGGGGGTGCTGGCCTGGCGGAAACCGTCCTGGGGTGGAAACGCCAGCTCCCTCACCAGCACAGGGACAGGCCAAGAGGCTGGGCGAGGTCGGCCAGGAAATCAGGAGAGATGGCGATCAGGCACAAGGTGGTCTCCGGCATTTGGTGGAGCAGATGGGGCGGGGGTCCTGGAGACCCTCAGCAGCAGGGTGAGGCCCTGAGAGGTCTCGGGGCTGCCCAGAGCACCCTGGATATGGCCCTGGGAGATCTGACCTCGAGCTGGGCAGTCCAGGGGCATCACGGAGCAGAGGCAGGAGTCAGATTGGTAAGGACCTTAGAGAACAGGAATGCAGAGGGATGCCGAGTGAGGATGGGGCTTCTGAGTGACCCTGAGAGGGTCTGGAGTCTCCCATGGCACCTGGGACGGAGGCTTGGCAGTGCTGAGGGAGGCAGCAGGGAAGGGGTGTGTGTGGTCTGTGGGCAGGCAGGGCCACCTTGAACTCTACCCCCACCCTGTACTGTGTGCCCTTGTGGGCTCTGCCGGGTGGGCTGTGCAGCCGTGGCTGCCCCACCCCAGCCTCTGGGCACGTCCCTCTATCCACGGGAGACCTCGGGGGCATCATGTTACCGTGTGCCCACACCCTCTGACCAAGCTGATTGCAGAGGGGTGAGCCCTGCCCCCTGGGCCAATCAGAGGCCCTCTGTAATGTGCCCAGCCTGAGCTCTTCTCCCAGGGTGGCTGTGGGGATGGTGGCCCCGTGGTCTGCTGTCCAGAGTGGCTATGGGGGCTAGAGGCCTCGTGGTCTGGGGAACAGGGAAGGTGGGAGATATCAACCACACAAGCAAGGAGCAGATAGACCTGACCCTTGGCCTCTGCACAGGAACAGCCGTGGGTCCTCACCTTAGGGACACTCTGTGCACTGAGACCTCTTCTTCCCACGCTGTCCTGAGGCCTGGCTGCAGGCCACAGCTGGGGTTCTTAAGCATCTTGTGACCACAACTGTGCCTCTGGGAAACAGCCCAAGCCACAGCATCCCGGGAGTCTGCACACTCTCCCACACCAGCACCACCAGGTCGGAGGCATAAGCCCCGACGTCCTGCACCGATGCTGTTAATGGGGCGAGTGCTGACTGCCATCCTGTGTCTGAGTCAAGCAGTCCCCGTCTGGGAGGCAGGTCTGCCCTGCTCCCAGGCTCATGTTCCCTCTGCTCTTCACATAGAACCTGGGCCTGTGCTCTCTGACAAGCAGGACGGATCACCGACGGCGTCAGCAGTGGCTCCCATCCTGCTCTGCTCTGCGTAAGGAAACCCACCCCCATTCTCCCATTGGACCTCTGGCTTTGCTCTTTGGGGTCGGTAACCATTGTGGGCAAGCCCTCACAGCTTTGGGGCTCTCAGTTCCCACCCACCATCCCTGGCCCTGTAGATGCACCTGGCACCTTGGGGTGAGGGCAGGGTCAGCGTGTGCAGGGCGCTGTCAGCTCCCTCCTGCCCGCCTTCCTTCTTCCTCCCTGATCTTCAGCCTCTCCAAGGCCCACCTAGCTGCCCCAGGAGCCCCAGGGCCTCTGCTGAAGGCAACAACACCAACATCACAGGGCTTTGAAATCATCGAGTGCGTTTAATTCGTCATACAGAAGGAAAACTACACAGGCAGGTTCAAGACAAACACTGTTCTCTATTCTCACTACCCACTGGACAGTCCTCCTCGGTCCAAAACTAACAGTCTCAAGACACGTCGGCAGCTACGCCTCCCGGTCCCACCTTGCAAATCCTCCCGTGACATTTTAGAAAACTGGAACTCAATCCAAGAGATAAACAGACCAACGGAAGAGGAACCTGAAGACACTGACATCGCAAGCCACGCGGTAATGCGCAACTGGCATAGAGAGTGACCGATAGAAGACGTATGCCTCACACAGTTCACTTTGTTCATCAATAAAAGAATATAAAAATCTGTTCAACCCAGTGTTGAGTGTATTAAAATAGATCTGTATCACACAGCACAGTTTCTCCCGGAGTCGTGAAAATGACAGGAGGGACCGTGGCCGGCTTAGGGTTCTGGCCAGCCTCCTCACTCTGCACCTGTGTCTGCGTGTGTCAGTGGTCACACACACGCACACACACCTGTGTAATGCAATTCGGCACCGTGTGATAGGCTCAGGCAGGAGCTCTGCAGCTCCCGGGTGCTTATCCCATTGTGCTAAGTCCCTCAGGACCAGAGAGGGTGGAGGGCGTGGCGAGAGGCACAGCCCACCCCCGGGGCCAGAGCCCTTATAACACTGTGGGACCCTCAGCTCTCAGCTGATGCAAGGAGAGGTAAAGGAGGGGACTCCCAAGTTTCCAAAGGCCAGACCCTACAGAGGCCACCGCCCTTTCTTCCTCCCCAGGCTCCCCTGGTTCTTAAAAAGCCCTCTGGACCAGCTCCAGTCTGGCCAACCTCCGAGGGCCAGTTCTCCCACTCACACCTGGCAGCAGAGACTCCCGTAGGCAGAAAGGAGTCAGCAAGCACCCCCTTCACATTAAATATCTCACAATAAAAACGCCATATAAAAATGCGAGGTTACTTTTTGGCATAGTGTCTGTACTGGCAAGAGAAAAGGAGTGGGGTGGATGCGCACTGGCTCTTCGCGAGGAGAACGTGAAGGCTTCGGCCATTGGTCGAATGATTCGGCTCAGAGCAGAAAGCCTGTCAACGCCTCCACTGCATGGCCGCAGCTCGATCCTGCCCAAAAACTCCATGAAAAACACATCGACGGCAAAGTGAGTCCAAAAGACTGGCAAAAGGAAGGAGGGGACAGCGAGAACGTGCTGAGACTCGGGCAGGGGTGGGCCTGGGCTGCCACTGTGGCAGCCCACCCTGGGGACACCGGCCTCAGTTTCTTTCAAGTTAAAACAGTGGCAACTCTCACGCCTAATAACACTGACAGGAAGGGCCTGGTGGGTCTGGACAGGCGCAGGGAGAGCCCCGGGCCGGCCGAGCCCTGGCAGCCTCCGTGAGGGAGGGGGCAGAGAACTACCTAGATTTGCTACCCACACTCGTCCCTGCAGCTCAAGCCAACTACCTCTACTACTCAGCTATGTCCCCACAGCTGGTGCTCGCTCCTGAGCAGGAGTTACCTGCCGGGCGGCCAGCCTGTCCCCACCACCTCCACCTTTCTCTCCCATGGGGCTGTGGAGAGCTGGGCCTTGAAGCTGGAAGCCTGAGCAGCCTCCGACAGCCGGGGACATGATGGGGGGTGGCTGTGTGCCCAGCCTCCAGGTGTCCCTCTGAACATGAAGGGTATGAGATGCCAGCCCCCGGCCTGCACTACAGCTCTCACCCCGCTCCTCTCCCTCCTCCTCCTCCTCTCCTCATCACTGTCTAGTTTTATTTTTGTTGGAAATTCATAGCATTTATGAATTAAGGCTGACAGAACCCCAGGTCATGAGAGCAGGGTCCAGTAACTTCCCATGGCGTGAAGACCGGTCCCTGGGGGTCAGTTGTGGCCCTGGGGGTGCTGGAGGGCGGAGTGCAGGGCTGCAGCTGAAGGCTTGGTCCAGGGTCCAGCTAGCAGCTGGGTAGGGCTGGTGGTCGTCATGGTAACCTGGAGCATCTGCTCGCCCTGTATCAGTCTCAGGAGGGCCCGGAGGCGGTCCAGGGATGACTGGGTGCCCCTCTGGCGGGCCAGCAGGCTTGTCTTAAGCTCCAGGCATTTCTGTCGGGGGAGAAGGGGTCAGAGAAGGTCCCAGAAGTGAACACCATCCTGTGGCAGCCACCTCTCAGCCCTCACTGCAGAAATACACTGCGAGGACTCGCTCAGCAGATGTGTTTTTCTGAGTTAGAGGAGGGCTGTGGTTTAGAAATAAGCATAAACATAAACACACAAAGACATACAAGTATAGAAAAATGAGGATCAGGTGGGCCCAATTTCTCGAGGGAGATAGCTGTGACCCCAAACTGGTCCCAGGTTTATTCTTTTAAAGGGCAGAAAATGGGGGAAGGGGAAGTGGAATGCAAACCCAGTTGTTTTGGGATGTTAATCAGCTGAAGATGCAAGGACAACTGGTGCCTTGTAGTTTCTCTGATATTTTGGGACCAATTCTGATAAACACATGTGGCTTCCTTTAACCTGATACCTGATACTGCTTTACTATTGGTAACAACATGCAGCTAGTGTATTCACACATTAATTGCTTTCATCACCCTGCACATGACTGATCACAGAACCATGTTTCTGCATGTGTCTGAGGTCACATTTGCTCAGATTGGCCACTCTCCACAAGAAACCAGGTGGCGAGCCTGGCTTCCTCTCATTCATTTGGAATTTAGGGATGGAAAAAGGCTGCTTATGTAGCAGCCTGGGAAAATTCCTCATGCCACAATGCCATGAAACTCCTCCCATGCCCTCTGCAGCAATTATAGAGACCTCCGCCGCCACCACACCCAGCCCTGCAGTGTCACAGCAACACAGCAAAGAAGAAGGGCTGAGCCAAGCAGGCATCGTCTGCTCTGGTTCACGTGCTGCTTGGCAAACACCCACCTCCCTGAGACCGCTCCTGAACTATGGCAGGAATAACTACAGGGCCTGCTCATGGACTACTGAGGTGATTAAATGAGATACTGCATTTAAATGGCTTCTCCAGGATCCAGCACTGAATGTACCACCATCACCACCATAATCACCACCACCGCCATCATTACCACTGCCACCATAACTATCTTCACCATCCCTCCAGCACCACTATCATCACAGTCCCACCATCACTGTCACCACCACCATCACTACCAGCATACCCCCACCACCATCACTACCATCATCAGCACCCCACCATTACCACTGCCACTACCATTATCCCCCCACCATCATCACTACCACCATCCCTACCATCATCATCCCACCACCATCATCACTCCATCACTACATCATCACCATCCTACCATCATCACTTTCATCACTACCACCATCATCTCCCCACCATCATCCTCTCTGTCAACATCACCATCACGACCATCATCATCCCCCCAGTATCATCACCAACATTGCCACTGCCACCATCACTATCTTGACCATCCCTCCAGTAGCACCACCATCACAGTCCCATCATCACTGTCATCACTACCACCATCACCATCATCATCCTCCCATACCATCATCACCACCACCATCAGGATCATCATATACCCACCACCATTAATACCATCATCAACACCCCACCATTACCACTACCACTACCATTATCCCCCCTGCCACCATCACTGCCACCATCACTACATCATCACCATCCCAACATCACCACTATCATCACTACCATCATCATCCCCCTACCATCATCACCAACATTGTCACTGCCACTATCACTATTTTCACCATCCCTCCAGCACCATCATCACAGTCCCACCACCACTGTCATCACCATCAGTACCATCATCATCACACCACCATCATACCCACTGTCATCACCACCATTATTGTCATCACAGCCATCATTACAATTGCCACTATTGCTATCATCACCATTCCTCTATCACCACTATCATCACAGTCCCATCATCACTGTCACCACCACCATCACTCCCCACCATCACCACCGTCACTACCACCATCACCACCATCCTTGCCATCATCACTATCACAACCACCACCATCATCCTCCCAACCATCACCATCACCACTGTCATCACCACCATCACTACCATCATTCCCATCACCACACTACCATCACCCTCCCCAATGTCATTGCCACCACCATTACTGACATCAACATCACCATCTCCACCATCCTTACCATCATCACTATCACAACCACCACCATCATCCTCCCAACCATCACCATCACTACTGTCATCACCACCATCACTACCATCATTCCCATCATCACACTACCATCACCTTCCCCAATGTCATTGCCACCACCATTACTGACATCAACATCACCACCACTATCACTACCATCACCATCCCTACACCATCACCACTATCACTACCATTGCCAACATCACACCGCCATCACTAACATCCCTAACATCGCCTCCACTGCTATCATCCCCATCATCTCCATTATCACCACTATCACCTCCGTCACCATCATCACAACCATCATCACCGTCACCATTACCATCATCCTGACTCTCCCCATCCTATGTTACTTTAACAAGAGGAAACAAGTTCAGAGAAGGGCAGGGCCTGGCCAAGTCACAGCTGAGATGAGGCAGAGCTGGGATGTTCGTGAAGTGTCTGCCAAAGGAGCCGCACAGCTGCCTTCTCCACTCCTGCCTGGTCGAGTGATGCTGTGTGGCTGTGCCCTTCCCAGCCTCATTACCAGGCAATGCTGTTCTGGACCTACGAGCTCTCCGGGCCCCATCCTGTGCACACCTTCAGGGCCGAGGCCAGCTGCCGGTCCCGCTGCTCCAGCTGCTGGTGCTCGTCCTGCAGCTCGCTGCCTCGCTGCAGCAGCTTCTGCTTCTCCTCCTCTTTCACTAGGACAGAGAAGGCCAGTTGAGTGGTGGGGTGCAGGCAGTCTGAGAGGCAGTGGAGACAGACTGACGTCCGTGCCACCCTCCTGCAGGAGCCAGGAGCTGTCTTGGCAGCAACGGCCCTGTGCACTGCTCTCATCAGAGCTCTGGCCCAGCCAGCCTGGGCTCACTCAGCCTCCCAGAAGCTCAGAAGGAGTCCAGAGGCCTGAGTGGGGGAGGATGAAGAGGAGGGTTGGTGCCTCCGCCCGCCACCCCAAAGGTGCCTTACCTGTCTTGTGGGTGACATAGGAGTGCACGATGGCCAGCATCCCCGTCCAGGGCACACCCTCATCTTTCTTTAAGGCCTGGGGGAGGGGTAGATGGGAAGTGAGAAACAGACAGTCCACACCCCGGCTGTGTGCCCCAGAGGGAGGCATGCCCTCTTTGATCCGGACAATGGGGCCACACCTGTCGCATGGGTCAACTCACAGGGGTGCTCAGTGAGGTCAACCCCAGGAGGGAAGAGCCTCTGGTCTCACTCCCTATTTCCTGAATGGTCACATGATTACGTGTTTTGTTCCCATGTCCAGGGGCCCTGAGAGCAGCCAGCCCCAGCAAGCCAGGGGCACACAGGAGCCCAGCAGGCCCTGGAATCATGCTAAAGTGGGACACTGACTGCTGCTCCCGCTCTGTGTCCCGGGGAAGCCTGTGCCTGGCCCAGCCACTGCGGCGGCAGAACACGAGAGCCTGCCAGGCTGGGAGCCGCGTGCCCACCTCGGGTTTGGAGCTTTGGACACTGTGCTGGTGCAGGGGAGGCCGGGCTGCGCCGCCATCTATACCTTCTGCTGGCACTTGGGGCACAGCCACGTGCCTTTGGGTGCCGTCTTGAGGGGCGGGTCCAGGCAGCTGAGGTGGTAGGCGCCCGGGCAGCCGCCGCAGGGCTGCAGGTTGGCCCCACGTGTGCAGGCGGCGCAGTGCTCGTCATGCGTGATCTCGTTCTGCAAGAGATGCGTGGGCCGGTGGGGACAGGCTGG